ATTAAGGGTATAGTTATAAGGATGTAGTATTAAGGGTATAGTTATAAGGATGTAGTATTAAGGGTATAGATATAAGGGTACAGTTGTAAGGGTATAGATATAAGGATATAGAATTAAGGATACAGAAATAAGGGCCTAAATATAAGGTATAGTTATAAGGGTTATAGTCGTAAGGGTATAGATATAAGGGTATAGTTATAAGGATGTAGTATTAAAGGTATAGTTATACTGGTATGGTTATAAGGGTATAGATATAAGGGTATGGATATAAGAGTATGGAAATAGGGATACAGAGATACGGGAAATGCTAACGATAAACCATTTAAATAATGGAATACCTTATACGTAGGACAGGACCGTTTTTGAAGAAAAATCAGATATGGTTTCGTTATTTCTTTACTGAACCTTTTTTCAGTCAGAACCTTTTTTGAGGGTTCTGTCTTTTACCCGATAGCAGAACCCATAAAAAGGTTCTGCAAAACTCCTTTTTTATTTTCAGAGTAGATGATAACGAAGTTATGTCTTTGGAAAATTTATCAATCAATTCCAATTTTCATATCATTCAAGATGCTGATAAACACAAAACTACAGTAACATCAGGTTTGTTACTGATCATTATTCCAAATATATTTTTATGATATTATAGATGTTGTTGATGAAGAGTCATCATCTTCAAAAGATTATCATGGACTTACAAGCATTATTGAACCAGCGAATGGAATAAGAATTCCATTACATTTAAAGCACCAAACATCAACACCAAAGGTGATCACTTCTAAAAACGTGGTACGTAAAATGCCTTTCGTTTCTTTTCGTATATGTTAGCACTGGTTATACAGTTTATTAGCAAAATAATGAAAAAGGGTGTGTATTTATATGTGGATAGGGTAGTATCATATGTTGATCAATAGCACAAAGAATGATGATCACGCCAGACGTGTTGAACAATAGTACAAAGAGTAACGGTTACGCCAAACGTTGAGCAATAGTATAAAGAACGGTGATCACGCCATATGTAAAAAAAAGATTATATGGTCATCAATGGTTATCTCGATAACAGTATATTTTATAACAGTAGAGCGCAAGAATAATTATTAGAGCAATGCTATTGCATGATTATTTTTTTTTATACACACAGAAAATCTTTTGTTTTTATTGTGATATTTAAGTTAAGAACAAGACAACGAAGACAATCAGAGGAAGGTGTTCAATGTACAACTGGTGACCATGATAGATCTTTAATTTATGATTCACCAATAGATGAATTAAGTGCTTGGTTAAATAGTGTACTTCGACATGGTCGACTTATTCCATTGACAGATGTTCAATCCTTTTATAGTGAAATTATTAAGAATTATAAGCATCATCATCAACGATCTGATTCTACTGTTCGCTGTGATATTCTTCGAAAAGAATTGGAAGTAAAATATCCGAATCACTATCATTTTGAAACTGTTAATAAAAGAGATGGGACTTACGTCGCTTTAAATGATATTAGTCATTACTCACGTGCAGCAATACACATGAGTAAATCTTCAACATTCGACCATGGGAATCGGCAAGATTCTAGTTGTAACATATCAAAATCGTTCAATGAAGATCAAGTTGACAGTTGTCAAGTAATCTTTGATGCAGTACGATTACTTCGTAGTCATATGAAAGACAAATTATATTTAATTGAAACACTTTTTAAACAAGTAGACAAGATCACTGAACTCACCAATGATCTGTTTATCGATTGCATACCTATTGTACTCCGGAATTTCATAGGTTTACTTACTTCAAGCAATCGTGAATTTAAACAATTTGAAAATAATTATTTTTACTATGATCTTTATACCAAGGATTTTTTCCAGAAAAGCTCTAAATCGTTGAAAAATGTATCAATAGGTTACGATATTATAAACGCCAGACATTGCCATATTGTATCACCGAAACATATAATACTAGCCAATGAAATTTGTAAACATGGAAGATCAAATGAGCTTTTATTAATTATGAATCGATTTGGACACGCTGCTTCTTACAAGACAATAAGTCGAATTCATCAACAGATTGCTAATAATCAATCCGTAGATTCTTTACCAGATGGCGTTCTGCCAGAGTGTTATTTAGTACAAGTCGCCGACAACTTTGATCTTAATAGAGAAACACTCCATGGAGAACGTAGTTATCATTTTCTTAATAGGATACTCGTTCAAACGCCAGACAATGCATATAGTCGAAATAGCACAAAGAATCAGTGAAACATCAATGAGCAAAATCAGAGCAGTAGGTATGAAGTATTGTAAAATTCTAAACTTAATATTCTATCGGATGTACTCATCTTAATTTAACTGCGGAAATTTTGTTTTTATAATTAAAGACGAAGCATTACGTGATCATGCAATGTCATTTTACCACGATTTTGAGCCATTTATTGATCATTCACTTACACCTCATTTGTTTGCTTATGGATTCATCAAGTCTTACTTCAATCGTTTAGGAACGTGTAATTTACCTTTGTATTCAGGTTTCATGGCAATTCACTTACCACATAATAATCGATCAAGGCATAAAGTTACTTTTATGACTCCAATTAATGAAGATCCTAATAAAATAGAAACAACTAAAGAATGCATAAATCAAATGAAAAAGCTGTTACTTGATAGTGGATTGCAGAATGATGCTATTTTAATAGTTGACGAACGAATTTTTCGATTATGCATTGAAGTTCGTACTTAAATTACTTTTTAGAGTTTTTATTATGCTTATCATTGAACATGCTGCACTTTTTATTAGGTAAAGGATGAAGATTCATCAAATTTTGATGGCATTTTTCTCTACCCAGGAGATTTCCACATGATGAAATGTGCCATGAAAGTAATATGGGAAGTTTTAGAAGAATCTGGCATTGATAATCTAATGGGTTTATTGTACAAAGGTGCTACACATCGAGCTGTTTTATCAGTTGCTCATTTTAATAAATCATTACGTGCCATCAAACTTCTATACACAGCATTACTTATTCTTATACATACTGAATTCATTACAACATTGTCATTGTCGATGGTTGAAGAAATAGAAAAATTGATGAATAGAATGCCATTAGATGCACCCGATGTTGAAGAAAGCAAAGCATGGTACGCTTCAGTACTTGATTATTTCTCAAATGTTAAACTTCAAGACACTTTTGATTCATGGATTAAGATTAATTGTGAAAAAAATTTAAAATTTCGTTTTTGGACGTTCGTTTTATTTGATCTAATTACTCCACTTATCAAGTTATATACTGCATTACGTACAAGTAATTTTTCTGCTCGGAACGCAGCTGTCTGTGAGCTAGCAGAATTGTTTTTTGCTACAAATCATAGACAATATGCTCGTTTAACAGCTAGACACATTTCCGATCTTCGTGTATGTCCACAACATCTCTTAGATCGTTTGTCTAAAAGTTTTGCTGTTGTACGTACTAACCGTAATTTTAGCTCTATTGCTCTTGATCAAACAATTGAAGTTACGATTAATAAGATGGGAAAAGGACATGGTGGTATAACAGGTCGTTGCTCGATGAAATCTATTGATATTTGGTCAAAATCATACACATTCCGGTCTCTGCTTTCTACAGTAGCAAGTGAATTAGCTGGTATTGAATCTAATGTTAACAGTATGGAAAGTCATGTAGAATGTTCACAAACTCGTATGGAATCAGACCACGTCGATTTACAAATTATATTAGATAAGATTATTGATGAAAAATTATTCTCATCAGATACAAATGATGTTATACAAATTTTTACCGGTAAGGTTATTCATCCCGACATTATTGAAAGTAATTGTATGAGTCGTGTAAGTAATTTTTTAATTTTATCATCAATATTTTGACTCTCTATCTCTATTCTTATGTTTACTAATGCAATATTCTAACTATTCTAGATAACTGGTGCAGAAATACTTAAAAAATTTATTCATGAACGATTAGTTAATTGTTCTACACCTTTAAGTGTAACATTGAATGCATCATCGTTGCTTCGTATTCGTGATAATGATACATATGAAAGTAGTCGATCCAACGTCAAGAAGTCATCTCGAAGAAAGTCTACAATTGACATTAAAAAAGTTGATGCTGAAATTCGACGAATATTGCTTCTATCTCAATATCGTCCGATTGACTTAGAAGTGAGTGTATTAAAACTACGAATAATGTATCTATTTGGTTCCGTATTTTTAGTCAGTGTTCAGTCATGAGTTATCAACAATACCGATTAGTTTATGTTCATTAGAAGATGTTAATATGTTAAATCAACAATCGAAATCGAAAGACACTTTCGAATTTTTAAAACAACAGTTTCCAACAGCTATTTATTCAACAAATATACCAACTACAAATCAACCAAAGGCTCTTGTCATTGATGGTTCGTCATTACTACACATCTATCCTCGTAAAGGATCTAATGCTTTTCAATATGCTCTTTATCTATTGATTGAACATATCTTACCTTACTTCGTCGATTATTTACGTATTGATATTATTTTTGATTCACCTAAAAGTCGAGATTCAAAGTCATTTACAAATCGTTATACCAACAGCGGTAATGTACAACCAAAGTACAATAATATAATGCGAAATTCTATACTTCCAACTGGCAAAGCATTTCAAAATTTTGTTATATCTAATCGAGCTATCTTTGCTGCTTCAATTATTGAATCTTGGAAAGAAACAGAAGCCACAAATCAAATTCCATCAGGATGCGTATTGATAGTAGCTGGTCCTGATGAAAAAGCATTTAAATTAGAAAAGGATGAACAACCGGAAGATCTAATTGAACTCGAAAGTAATCAAATTGAAGCAGACTCGCGCATAATTTTGCACATCGATCAAATTCTTCAAAATTATATTTTTAACATTGTAGTAAAATCAATTGATACAGATGTTATCATTTTATGTATTTATCATGCATCTCTATGTGGTCTTCGTAGTCTATTGGTTGATGCAACTTTACCAAAGAAGCAGTTGAAAGTAATTGATTGCAAATTTATACACGACGAATTGATTGATCGATATGGTGTAAATCCATTAATATTTCTTATCGTATATGCACTTTCCGGATGTGATACATGTTCATTCACCCGAAATGTTAGCAAACGAACTTTTATGCAAGTCATGTTTGATACACCGAACGATTTTAATGATTTACAAAAATTAACTACCTTACCAACCAGTAAAGATGATGTAAATCCATTTGCAGATAAATCTGATTATTATACATGATTTATTAGTTGAGTAGATGTGATAATTATTGAGAAAAGGAATTTGATATGAGGGAATCTCCGTAGTTGAAAAAATTTGAAGACATCATAAATTCAGGATGATAGGAGAGCTTGTAGTATTCAGGTTTCATCAGATTTAGAGATATGCTGTATTCTAGAATGCAGTCTAGTTTTTTGCCGTAGATATAAAATATTCTTTCATGCTCAAATTGATTACGATTCTTTTTTTTATAGATTATTGCTGCCGAACGACTATTTGTCAGATGTTTTTCTTCGAATCGACGTCGTCGACAATCAACTTCTACAGCATCAAGTTCAAATAATTTGTCACAAATAGATGTAAAAGATGTCTCAATCAATCAACTTCGTGCCATCATCGCCATGGTCTGTTTGAAAAAAAATGCGACAACTATCGCTACATCATTACCACCAACACAAGATTCTTTGTTTTACCACTGCCTACGCACATCTAGGCAAGTTCAAATATGGATACAAGCTCCCGATAGTTATATCAAATATCCTGATTTACAGGAAAGTGGTTTCACGATAATTGATGGTCGTGTTCAAATTCAATGGACATCTAAATTACCATTTTCAAATGATCGTCAACTAACATGTTGTGGGAAACACAAAGGAAAATGCATACGATGTGTTTGTATTGTAAATCAATTGCCATGCACAATATTTTGTCAATGTGACTTCGATTGCCCAAATCGAGCATTAAATCAAACTAGCACCACAAATTCACAGATATCGATAGTGAGTTGTTTTCTTTTTAATTACAAAATCAGTTTTCTCATTTTGATTTTTGAAATAATAGAGACCAACAAAAGAAAAAAAAGATACCTTTACATTAAACTCAAGACTTACAACATCAGCTTTTGATTATGAATACATTAGTGAAGAAGAATCTAGTGATCAATCATCTGGTTCAACTGATTATTGTTCAATTGATGATATGGATGAAGTTAGTGATGGGGTAAAATGACTTTTAAATATAATTAGAATGTTAAAATAAGTTGTTATTGTAGATTTCATCGTCGAGTGAAAGCGAACAGTCTGTAGATTGTCCTTATTTTTGATTGTAAACGATATATTTTAATAAATAAAAAATAAAATACGATTAATTCCTCAGTAATCGCATCGCACTGTTGTATAAATATATAAATAAATTTTAGACTTTTCTCGTAAGGTAGGGTTCATTTCGGCACAAATTACAATAGAGAGTATCACTGGTACCAAATAGAGCCATGACAGGTTGTCGTGTCATAGGTAGCCACTACATACGCTAGTACAAATTTAGCGACATCTATATCAATTTCAGTAATATCACCCAAAATGCTTTTGTACTTTTCTAATTTAGCTGTTTTCAATTGTAGATAAATTAAAATTTTCTTTTCTAATGCGTGCGTATGTACCAAGTGTAGCTCAGAAACGAATGTATGAAACAACATCAATCCGTTTCATCAGTCCACAGATCATAATATGTATATAACAGTGTTTTGAAACGTTATCTTTTCTTTTAACAATGACTCCAATGGTTTAGATAGATGTCCGTAGTGAACGAAAGCGATGACATATGCAGATCATAAACATAGAACGTCATTGATTTATTTTAAAGAGAAAATGATTTTTGATTGAGGACATTTTCGATTATTCTTGTAGAATTCACATATATTTTCGAAGAAAATAGTGTGTGTAAGTCTTAAGTGGACCTTTTCGTGGTCCACCCCTCTCCCCATTACATATCATAGCAACGCAGGCCTCTATCACATACACCCCCCTCTCACAGACTGTAGCGACCGGAAAAAAATATTTTCATATTTCTTGATTTTTTATTAAAAATTGATCAATTTATAGTTTTCAAAAAAAACGAAAAGTTTTTGTTTCAAAATTCAAGGAAGTCCTTGATTTATTGATCGATTATTCTACGAATGACCGGGGTCTACAAGACATGTTTCATTTTAAGTATTTCATATCCTTTTTTTGCAAAACTCATCTAGTAAAAATTTTTAAAACTAATAAATATCATTTTTCGCATGTTAATTATCCTGTGTACTAACTGGTTCCCTTAAATTAGCTGCAGGCATGATTGACACATAAAAAAGACCTGTTCGTCATTTAATTAGCTGATTATAATAGTAATGATGTTAAATCAATAAAAAAAGAATTAGAAAAAAAGAAAATTTGTGAGTAAATTCAGAGGTGCGAATAAAGTATAGGGCGCGCATACAAAACAAAAGTTTGCTCGAGATGTAAAAGATCACTTAGAATAAGTTTTTCACTTTAAGTAGTCTGAACTAATTCAATAAAGTTAGGGAGCATATGTGAGTTCCAAATTTTAGCTATAAAGGGGTTGCGTTGAAAAGCTTTTTCATCAAATAGTGCACAAAATTATGTTGAAACAGAAACCATCATTTTCTGCGTTTTAATGCGTTATGAGTGCTCTTGTAGTGACGGTCATAGTTCTAATTGTGCACTATCTTTTGTAGAAAGGCCAGTTCGATCTATTATGGTATGATTCTTTGATGAACTTTACATTAACGAAGTCAGCTCAGTGAAGCGATATTAGTTTAGTACAGGCTCTGACTCTGAAAGTTTTAGCATGCACTATTTGGTCTTTCTCAATACTGAAATACAATTTTCTACAAAAATACTTGATTGAAACCTGATTTATGAAGTCAATAGTTGAAAATCACAGATATTGACGTGATATGGATACGCATTCAAAAAGACGATATCTTAGAAATCAAAATCACTGCACTTATAAAAGGATCCCGCCGGATAAGAGTCAAAATCTGCCATCCTGTGGAATTAGATGAAAGTTATATATTCTGAAAGCCCTTTTTTTGGCACACATTTTCGTATATTTTCTTTGACCCAAAGAATTGACTAGAGGGCTGTTAGCGAATGATCTTGTGAACACCCCTTAACGGCTTTTATGAATATCCTAGCAATCAATAAACTTGTTCTTTTTGTTTCAAAATTGTTGATTCAGAATTCGTCAAATACTAACAATAGATGCAGAAAAATGTGCTCTACAAAACGATATAAATCCATAAATTTTAAGTTGTTCTCATTAGGAGTTATAAGACCCACAAGTATCAGGTAGTCTGCATAAAATATGATTTTTAGGCTATGTTCGTTAAATTGTTCCCATGATATATATTGTTAATGTCCATGTGAACAAAATTGAGACTATTCTAGAAGCAATCCTCGTGATTTGCTCTACGAAATGAGATAAGTTTTAACAAAATAAAAGCAGTCCCAATATTGAATATTGGATTTTTACTTGGATATCAATGCTATTTTTTAATCAAGGTTAGATTATATTTAAGTTATTCTACTTTATATTTTAAAATTGGTGTTAGATATATGTTTAGGAAGTGAAATCACATTAACTATAATTATATAGAGTAGTTCAATATATATCATCAATGGGTCTCTATTATACATAAATGTAACTTATGAATATATTTGTGAAATAACTAGATATAGAAATTCTCAAAAAAGATAAATCTAGTGTGTTATGACATTTTGCATTAGTTCCATACTATCAGTTGTTGGTAATGCTTAATTGTAATCAGTTACATTTCTGTATAATAGAGACCCATTGATGATATATATTGAACTACTCTATATAGTTATAGTTAATGTGATTTCGCTTCC